CCCCCACTATCCCTCCTTTGAGCGGATTTAACCAATATAGCTAAACATGGTGCTTAGTGAATGTACACCAAAACAGACTTACACAAAGCCAGTAAAATATTCATCAACAATATCCACTCTTTTCGTTATTCGCCTTCTGCCTTTTCAGTTAAACTCTGGTCCTAGACTACACGACAGTTCTCTTTTAAAACAAACGTCTCAAACCTTTTAGCAGAAGTGCACACAGAAATTGACTTGGCCAGAAGGAAGGCTACCTGATGCCAGTCTTATGAGAAGCTCACGTTCTACCACTTCTCTTGTTGATCTGAATTATGCAGGGCGGCTAGCTACTCACGCCAATGAATATGCACCCAATGACCTTGACCTTGTGACCTTTGACTTGGCAGGCTTTCACAATGATCACCGTGCCACCGACACATCTTTCCAAGACAGTTATACTCTACTATCTCTTCCACTTCGTTTTGTGAAAATGGAGCTAGGAGTGGTAATGGAATTTAAGCGAGTAAATATTATCTATTTCGAATTGAAACTTCTGAGACCTGGTCTCTCCTCTTAAAGGAATCAAGCTCTAATGACTCCTTTCGTTCAGATAAAAGTTAAAAAAATGATACTTTTCTTCGGTAGGAAGTATGAAATTCTCCTTTAATAGCTAATTCAAGTGTTCTAGTACTCTACGCAGCGATGACTCCTATTGCAGTCGAAGTTATCTAATTGAATTTGTTTATAAGGTGATTTTCATGTTTCTCAACACGAGTTATTTTTGGTGAAGCAATAATGGCATGATCAGTTCTGAATACACCCCCTTTATGAGTAAGAGAAATATTCTCATATAAAGGTTATTTTAGGGGGTGAAACGCTGTCAACTCACTGGCCTCCTGTTTCTCAATTTTAGACAAGTATGAGAGACCGTTGCATAATTGCTGCAATATTTCAAAATCCACAAAGAACAAGCTTTCTTGAGGGAGAAATGCAATTTTCAAATGCCTATCCTAGCCCACATGCAACTGAAGGGGTCCCACAATAAATAAGATGAGTTATCGTGTTCTTTTGACATCTTCCGACTGGTTCAAAGACACTACAGAAGTTATCAATATTGCAATACTTGCAGTAATTACATCAGTGGCTAAGCGTTGCAATATTACCTCCTCAATTACCAAACACTTTCCCTTTTGTAATCCACACCGATACACTAATCTATGTAACATAGTTACGTGGGAATTTCTCATCAAAATATGTTTTACAACCTCATACATACTTGATGAAACTATTGGCTCACAACTATCTAAATAAGGATATTCATTAACAAACTTCCTTCATTGTTAATAAAGATTGAAGGGAGATCTTTAGAAACAAAATGCATGAGGCGTAATTATTTGTTATCTTAAAACAAGCATAGTAGGTAATGGTGAAATAACTTTTAGTGACATCGATGTAAATGACGCGATACATGTTACTCACCCTGAGAGTCATGTCGCAGCTGGAAATTTTCATCATCGAATTTCTTTCCATAGATGGATTTGCCTCCAGTACCATCACCACGAGTGAAATCGCCACCCTGGCACATGAATTGTGGGATAATTCTATGAAAAGTGGAGTTTCTGTAGCCGAAACCTCGTTCACCAGTACACAGGGCGCGGAAGTTCTCAGCTGTTCGTGGTACAACATCCTTGCGCAGCTCAATAATAATACGACCCGCCTCTGAATCGCCAATCCGGATATCCAAAAAGACGCGAGGTAGGGAGAGTTTGATGCGTTTCTCCTCACTTAGAGCTGCATCGTCCTAAAAGACAATAGACATAATAATTACTCGATTTAGTTACCAAATCGAATCAAAGAACACCAGGACTATGAAAACATACAAGGATGGTCCTATTCTTTGCATTAAAAATTGAAATAAAATGACTTAATGCATTTTCTTAGCCATCTTTTCCATATGGGGTGTGGGATAGACTTACCTCCTCGTGGTACACCCTGGGCAACGTATAATCATACGGCTCTATTAACCGGTAGTTGACTTCAAACTACCATCATCCCACTGTATGTCATATTCGACATCTACACAATACTCATCTTACCCTTTCTGAGCCTTGGTGTCTGCCTATTTCTTTTACATCTGTGAATCATTCTTCTGGTCTCCCTCCTGAATTCTTCTCATTTTGATGTCCTTCCCCCTTTGTGAAGCCCGAAGTCAACTAAAGGGCTAATGATAACTATCAAAACTCCTGCCATTTGTTATAAATAAAGCTTTTTCCATACAATTTTGAAAAAAAGACTTATTTAATGAACAAAAGAGTCCATCAGTTAGCCAATCATTCATCCGGCCGGAGTCTTAACACCTCATTTGCATTTTGTGAGCCAATAACGCCGAGAATTCATACTTAACGCACACCTATTCGTTGTGGTTGATGCTCGATAGCATTGTGGTCGGATCTGCTTAGGTTAACCTAGTCACTTTGAGGGCAAGTACTTCTTTCCCCATTTGATGATACAATGGTAGATTTTAATTTCTCTACCTAGTTTCAACAAGGGGATAGACTATCACCAACAAAATTGAATGTAAGCATTTTGATGATCGTTTACAAAAATTCTACCGTCTGTTCTCACTTATCGCATCGTACACAAAGCATGTAAATTGCGAATAGGAGGTCAGATTGGGTGAGACTTTAAAAAATAAGGCCTATGGTTAAAATCAACACAGATGACGTATTCAAAAGACATTGAGGATGAGGATTTCTAATGCCATTAACTCAACGGAAGTGCGAAATTATGTTTAGCACACAACAAATGAACTCTAGTGTGTATTATTTGATTTGTTTGAAGACTACCAAAAAGAGTGAATGGTCAGTAAATCACTATAGAGAAAGATGAAATAACTTCAAACCTAATTCAAAACATGTTCGCTTCAGACAGTATAGTAACAAAATGTGAAAATCAGAACTAACCGCTTCTGCCGTGTTTTCTGATGATGGATCGCCAGGTTGGACAACAACTGAATCGTCGCCTTTAGAGCCCTCCACTCCAAGACCGCCGTACTTCTTTAACCAATTATCATCAGACCAGACTGTGATTAAATGAGAAAAGTGAAATTAGCATTACTACTCGTAGTTATATAAGTACGAGAAGCTGAAAAAAACAAGAAGCTCAACTTACCCGGCTTGCCGTAGCCTTCGCGAATTTTCACTGGACGAGCAATATTGACTCGAATTGTTCTACCGAAAATTTCACTCTCATTCTGAAATAGGACAAGTGAGTTTTGCAAAAAAATCCACAACTATGTCATCGAGGAATAAAACAAAATTGACCATTCCAATCGAAAGAGAAGTTGCAATTTCAGTTTTCCCAGTTGCCCATACTCGCTCCCACTTCTTCCTCCTGCTTTCAGTAATTTCAAGTTGCTTAATACGCATGCGGTTGTGATTGACTCTTGGCGTTCTCAATAGTTTGACTAACAGAAGAGTTGTCGAGCAGCCTCTTATCATATGATAAAAGGCTAGAGATTTGAAACAAAAATCGAACCCTAACTAACAAAATGAATTTCTCTATGCTCAAATGATACCATTTTTAGTTTCTACAACGTGATATGCAGTAAATGAGGTGAGAGTAAAACTCACCATGTTGTCAATTGCAGCAATAGAATCTTCTGCTTCTTCATATTCGATGAAAGCGAATCCACGGTGTTTTTCCGTTTGATAATCCAGGGGCATGTTGATATCGATGATGTCGCCAAAAGGAATAAAAGCTGCACGAAGCAGTTCCTTATCTACCTCATCTGCCAACCCTCCTAGCAATGCAAAAATCGCACGGATCAGTAGATCAAGAGAAATAAACGAAAATTTAAACAAATTTGAACATAATCCAAAATATTATACCCAAATTGGGCCTTGAATTTACTTTTAAAAAGCTTAAAACAATCTCTTTGACTCGAACGCCGATTCAAATATAGACAGGTCTGTACATAGTGAGCAATAAAAAGACGAATCGTTGTGAAGAAAAGAGTTGTTTTTTTTAAGGTGGATTAATATTATTATTTTCCGAAGAGACGGAAAAACCGTGAGAAAAAAATTAAGATTTAAAAAATAGACTTAAATTATATGTCTTGTTCAAGAAATCATTGGACCACATTAAGAAACGGATTGAAAGTTGAAAATTTCCATCTTAGGCCAAAACGAAAATTTTGGTTGACAATACATGGATAGGTTTGTTCGGTAAATACACAAAAGCGAAAATAAAACAAAGCAATAATACATTACCCGTGAAAGATCAAAACTATAAACCTTCATGAAACAAGATGTTATAAACGCCTAGGTCGACGCATTGCTTCAGCATGTAAAAATACATTTATTATAAAACCAGCAAGAGCATAACCGACAAATAATAAGCACCGAAAAAGCTTATTCATGAAATTTAAAGGACATAAAGTATACTTAAGTGGGAAAAAAAGGAAAGAACACCTAGCAAAAGATAAATACTAGAATGAGTAGATACTAGAAGCGGTAAAGAGAGAAGTATATATTCTAGTGTTAAGGCATTTTGCAAAGAAATACTTTCGATCCAAGATAAAAAATATATAAATAACCTACCAACATAGATAACACGCTTATTAACCGGGTTGTAAGTACCGGCCGGCAGTTGCAGGGGTGGTAGTTCTGCCTGTCAAGTCGAAATAAAAAGCGATTCATTAAAAATGTTTTAATAGTGAGCATAATGAAGTAAATGATCCGAATAACTTTAAGGAAAAAATTATGCATAAAACATGAACGCACCATCCCGATACGAAAATAGCATGTGCATTAGGGTTAGAGCATGCAGATGATACTCAAGGCTGAATGAATTACTACTTAATGAATAGTATTCTATTTACGTTATTGGGTGAAGCATTATGTATTTATTTTTCCCAATTTTATTTATTTAATTTGACGAGTCGTTGTAAAAGTATTTCTTCTCACTGCAAGGTTGTTTGAAATCTCAACCCGGTTAAAAAATTAATTTCTATGGTTCTACTGTTCTTTTCTAGTGTTATGCTGCTGATTTCTGAGACTATTGATAAAATACTAATTATTGACAAAGCCTTTCAACAATTTTGAAAAAGCGAAGAATTCCAAAGATCACCTGACTTTGCAGGGATATATATTGGTTGACTTCAAACTTCCATGACCCCACTGTATGTCATATTCGAATGCTTTCACAGTACTCATCCCACCTTTTTTCCACCTTATCTACCTTCGTCTTTGATGCAGTCTTCTGTTCCCCCCCCCCTCTTGAATTTTTTACACTTTGACGTTCCTTCCCCTCTGTGAAGACTGAAGTCAACTAAAGGGCTAATTATAACAATCAAAACGCCTACCATTTGATATATTAATAATATTATTTACATCCATGGGTGAGACATCAAAGTAGAATAACTTTTGCAAAAAGGATATCTCCATGACGAGTACACAAATTTTTGACCCGAATGAATACCAGAAAACATCACTGAGAGTCCCGCTTAAACAACATATAAAAAAAGAATAGTGCTTTTAGAAATGATACTAATGATATTTCAAAGAGAACAGATCAAATGATCTGCAATTACGAAGAAAGCCAAAGGCATTCAAACAACTCTGGATGTCATTGGAAGTCTGTCTTCGAGTAAGGTGAGCCTCCATGGACTAAAATGATAAGTACAACTTAAATAAGCATATTGTCAAATTAAATTACATCTAAACATCGAAAAATTCACCTCTAACATGGCATACTCTCTTCTAAGGTCATCAACAGTCACAGGATCGAATTGATGGCCGACGAATTGCTTAATGTGGTGGTGGAACGCCTCGTAGAGTTGAACAAGGACTGATAAATCACAGGATGATATTTTGAAACCACTTTTTTCAACATGCAAGCAAACTTCAGGTCCATCATGGCTTGAGGGAGCTAAATATTGAAAATTAAGTTTCCTGCCTTCCTCGATTAGGAAGTCGTAGGACCTGAAGAGCTCCTCAAATTTAGAAAACGTGTCTGAAGAAAGGCGAATGGGCAAAATGTATGGCTGACTCGTTGAAGAAATTTCATGAAATCGAAGTAAATCTAAAGCTGTGGTGACCCGATGATGTAGTTTATATCGTAACGGAGATGACATAACAACGAATCCAGTTGAACAGCCATCTAGCTCCAAATAAACAGAAATCTCCAAATTATTATTATCTGACTCCCTTCTAAAAAGGCTTTCAGGTAGGTGATAGACGATCTTTCGAAAGTTGTCGATCATAGAGTTAGAATCAATCAATCTTTTGGTGTAGGAATGGGATAAGTTTGAGGGATTTTTGACGGGTTTAACCTCTACAGCAATACTCAGCGATTCACGGAGTCGGCGTATCTCATCAGTAAGCGATTTCGGATTTTCCTTTAGAATGAGTCGAAGAAGCTGCAACGGTGAAAGCGCTTTATAGTCCATCCACTCACTATAGCTTATATCAGCATCATCGGAGGGCTAAAGGAAATAAAATTCTTAGATAACTGAAAATAAAACCAAAGAGCATCTTAGAATTAAGAGAAGTTTGACAATAAGCTAAATGAAGAAAGTACTTAATAGGGAAACTTGTCCGGAACCTTATAGAATGTGGCAGCATTGCTCCATAAAGAGAAAGCACTTAATACCTCATTTAGAAGGGAAAAGAAATAACGGAAGCTGCGTTTATGAGAAGCCAATTCGACCTTCCGAATGTGAGATCTTGGATTTATATCAGAGGTACGTACTGACCGCTTCTTTTTTTCAAAACGTCCCGATTTTAGTGTTTTAAAGGGCTATTTAAACTACATCAGACACCAATCCATACGAAATGTTTAAAATGGTAGGGAGTCTAATAGTAAATTTCGGCATGGAAGCATAATTAAAATCCGATAGATTAAATAAAAGAACGTCGTGGAAAACTAGTATCAGAGTGGCACATTTATAGCTTTTTCGACATGGAATTAGCAAAATTTCTACCTTTGAGTTTCTGATGTGTTAAATCACTAGGCTACAAGCCGCTTACCAACCCGTAAAAGTTATTCCGCGGAAAGCTTTGTCAGCTAGTTTGACAGAGGAATAAAAAGAGGTTTCAGGATATTCACCGTTAGTCAATCAGACTGAGGTCAGCTACTGTGCCAAGAATAAGGGATAAGATAAAGTACAGTGAGGTGGGTGCTAGCAAAGAGGTCACATCCAGACGGACGAACAATCGATGAGGCTAGCAAATATCAATTTCTCTCTAAAGAGGGGAATTTTTGTCTTTTCTCTCGATGTTCTTTGTTGATGACAGGTAAATAAAGAGATGGTGATATGCAAAAAAAATAGAAATAAACGACGGATTCTATAACGAGATAATGACTTTCGAGTGCTTACTGGACCTTTGACCTCCATTGGTGAATATCCGTTAAGGTGAACGGCAAAGCGCATTCTTAACTTTTAGCCAACAATTTACTCCAAAAGTCATGTCTTCAGTAGGTTCAGCAATCCGTTTTTGTTAAATAAATCAAAACCAGTGGGGAAGTACATTTAAATTAATCCATCTCAAATTTTGACTCGATCAAAGATTAAGTCGCGAGAATTATAAAGACATAAGTTTTCGCATTATTTATATAACCTGTTCATTTACTATAGGTAAATGAAAAATTCAAAGCTTGTCAAAATCAAATTTTAAGAGGAACTTAATGTAAATAGTGAGATCGATCAGCCAGATGATTGGCTAATAATGAGAAGAAAGTGGATACGACTTACAGGAAGATCGAGGGTAACTACCAATGCAAGATTAAAAGAATCTTTGTCAGTATGGAATTCGCAATAACCAGGAAGGTCTTGAAGACTTTTTAATCGTACTGTTGTTCTCAAAATGGATTGATCTGAAGGTAATCCAGTAAATATACCATCCACAACAGCTCTATGCAAACGCTTGAAGATTACTTCCGATCGTAGAGAAGATATGGATTTCGATGTTGCTCTAGCAGCCACAACTGGACTTTCGTATTTAGAAATATAATCGGTAAGAGGTAAATGATCTCCAGTTTCTCGATTTACTGCACCAATTTGACCACCTAAAAATTGAGTTCGGTTAAAATAAAACAGAAATTAGGACAAACTCGGTAATGTGATAAAGTCCTTAATATTAAGCAACCGCCATTCCAAAGCCACGTCAATCTTTTCTGATGAACTTACAATATTAAAATGAATGGATCCCCTATCTGAACGATCGTTGGGTTTATCGACTTCGCTTAGAAACGGATCAATATGACGAAAAGACGGTTTTTGAGGATAAGCAGCAGGAGTACATATCAATTTCCCATCGATATGAGCAAAAACAAAGGAAAGAAGGAAACCATCTGACGATAAAATATGCAACCAGGAACAATGAGGAGTACAAGTAAAACTCCGGCGATTGTTTGGATCCAAAGATGGAATACGATAGAACACCAAGTGCCTACCCCTAGAGTCCGAGAGTAGTAATTTGAATAGCTCTTACTGGTCGGGAGTCGAGTAACACGCGGATAGTAGACCATTAACCGTAATGCCAAACAAGCACTCCTCAATATCTCCATTGATATTATCATTTTCTAGAGAAGGAATATGATACATCAATGAGAAGTGTGATATTAATTGTGGCGATGGAAAACTAAAAACACGTCTCAATTTTGAGCCTTCTTCCAGTGGAAATGCGTAGACTATTCCATCAAAAGCTCCGAAAATAACAGTCTCTTCAGAAGGAAAATCAAGCAAACGCTTTATAAATCCAGACTGAACAGGGTATTCTGTAGAGCTTGGTAAATCCAATTTAGACGAAAGAAGCAGAACGCCTCCCGTTAGAATGATGTCCGCATTCGTTTTATTTCTTGTATTCAAGCTAAATCTTTTTTATCGATTAAATAAAAAGTTGGGAATTACGATCTACAAAAGCTGCTGTGTTTAATTTGGACAGAAAAGTCTATATTTTGGCCACTATTTGAATCGGATGTGCTAATATTTATGGAAATATTCGAATTCGGAAAAGTGTGGCTAAAAGTGCAGTCTCGTTGAGAGATGTCGGCAGCTTCCAATTCACAAAATGTGCCTCCAGTTGCATCAAGACATATAGACTTGAAGTTATCCGCAAATAGATCCTCTTGAGACGAGAACATTTATAAGTCAAAAATAATATTAAAGTAATTTAAAATAATTCCATTTAGACAAAAAATTTCGCCGAAGTCACAATAACTACAAAAGAACGCCAATATTATTTTAAAGAATGCAACCTTGAAAAAGACCACCTGTGACCAATTAAAAGTCTTTAAGATGATTATGAACATATTACTCAAAAAGAGCAGCAAATAAAAATCGTTGTGTGTCATAAGATGTTGTTTCACAATAAATTATTCCAGTCTGGTAGATTTGGAATGTCATATCTGGTTGCCTTAAAAAAATAATATTTGCTTGGATAACAGTAACGAATGAGTGAAGTTTAAGCGCAGCAGACACAAAGAAAGCAAATTAACACATGCTCTCTTGCTTTCGCTAATGTAATTCCTTAATTTGAACATTATTAAATGTTCACATGTACTTATTCTTCATATGATAATCGAATAAAATACATAGACACGCATTTTAATGGCTCACTTGTTGGTATATCTATTCCATTAAAATGGGTGTTTCCTTATCCCTATGAGAATGAAAGCATTGACTGAAGCAACATATTGAACATAATTAACAAATGAAACTTGATTTTTTTAATTTTTGCCGTGTTGTCATCCATCAATTAGCTTCCAGTCTTCGTGAACTTTCACAATTGACTATCTCGATTTTTGCCTTAGAGTGTTCACGACCCTCGATTCCAAAGAAAATTTTCATTTTAGTAAACTCATTTCAAAACCTGCTTACGTTTTATCGTGAACATCACTTTTTTAAATATTATCTCCTTCTTTTCTGATTTTAAAATCTCATTGTAAGTCTAAGATTGGTAGTTATATGATTGTAAGTAGAAATAAGAAAAAATGTGATCAACAGGGCAGACATAAAAGTATCGATTAATTAGATTACTTGTGTTAACAGAATTGAAATATTTATATTAAAGTTTGAGTAATTTTCAAACTGAAATTTTCAAGAGGAGTATGATATGATGTATATCATATATATATGATATATATGCCAATGGGGCCAACCTTGCTTTTTGACAACAACGAAATAATTTCTAATTATATAGACCCGATTTCAAGATCGTGTTTAGATAATTTTGATTTAACTTTTAAATTATTATAAAATAATCCAAAATGGATCGAAGTAACGAATTTCTTTTATTACAGCTAATGCAATATTTCCTACATTTAGCTCTAATTTAAAGTAGGCTTCCCAATGCAACTCCTGTTGCAATGTAACGGAGACGCTGAATCCATAAAACCCTTAACTGAATTCAATGCTTCGACTCAACCTTAGTATGCAACAACTTTCAGTAAAACTGTCAAATGGCATAACGGTGAGTAATTTAAAAGCCGAACCAGGATGATGTTAATTTCTAGATCTTTGTTATATAAACCCGTAAAACCAAGTCTGTAGTTAAAATGTGATTTTTATAAATTTACACAAAGTTGTTAACAGTATTAAACCTCCTGCAGTTGAAAATATTTAAATTTAGACATTATTACGCATTTGACATTGGTTCTTCCAAAAGAATTCAAGATATGATTGGTCAAAATGACTTTGTGATGACATCTTTATAGACTTCGTTGTATTTTTTTATTTTTTTGAAATAAATCGGTACTACTTTGCCATGCTATAAGAATAGTTACCGTAATATACAATACAGGGAAAGTTAAATATAAGTTATTTACAAGTAACGAAGAAGAATCGGGAACATTCGCCAACGTTATCTACTTTCTTATATTATCATATTTTGAAAGCTGTATAGATAGAAATTGCAAAAATTTACTCAAAAAACTCAGTTAAAACCTGAATATTGACTAGCAAAGGACCATATCATTTTGGTGTGCCAAACTGTGTCTTAATAAATTTTCACGTGCGGAGTAAAGTAAGTATGTTTCTCAAACACCTTGGCAAAAAATTCATAGTTAACCTAGCAGTCTTAACTTAGTTTAGGTTTGCTGTAGAAGTCGAAATATGAATTCATAACTTTGATTCCATGGGGCATTATCACTTGATGTCGATCAGCGTGTTCATTAAATGGATGAAATTGCACATCTTTATTATACCATTTTATATCACGGAGGTCCAACATTTATATTTTTCAGCATTATTCAGCAGGTTAAATGAGAAATTCTGCAATTGTATTTTAGATATATCCTCAGTGGCTACTAATATTATTTTCTTAATATTTTACCGCTTTTGTTAGAGCGAAATAATGTCGGAAACAAAACATATATATATATATATATATATATATATTCTTCCTGCAAACATATTCTGACGTTACTCGGCGTGAAACGGTAAGATATAGAAATAAATTGTTCTTTCTGTTATGTCAGTTCAGAAATAATGGGGATGCCCTTTCACTATATTGATAAAATATAAAGCCCATTAGCGAATGTTTCTTCTTACAACGTCAATCATCTCGATTTTTTCTATTTCTAACCCAATGATATCTGGTCTCTCATTATAAGGTCAAATAATAAAATATACTTGATATATATTGAATGGAATAAAACCAATTCTCACCTGATGTCGGGTGCCAACTTTTTGTAATTGTGATGATATGATATGATGCCATGCTATCATAAGGAACACCCTTAAATGTTCAAAAGTTTTAACGCTCTGGTTCACGAGTGAGACTAACTTCATTATATTCGAACTCAATAACTAAATTTTTTAACCAAACATGTTCACAGACATTTTACGCTTTCTCATTGAAAAAGGATTGTAATTAAGTCTTTCGACAATATTTTTTGACATAAGTTTTTGATAATTTAATTTGTTTGAAATAATAATTCAATTCACTTGATCATTGAAAATTACAGTAACATCAGACAAGAGGAAATAGAATTAGTTAATAATAAAAATAATCAAGTTGGCTTTTTTGGATTTCTTAAAAAGTAACGTGGCTATTTCGTAGCACTTAAAAACACTTTTTCCACTTCCTCCAAAACCCCTTCAGTATTAAGCTTCTAAGAGGTCAGAAAGATTAAGTGGTGATATCAGTTAATGTAGTCCTTAAGTAGAGCTAGGCTCTGTATATTTATATTCAAGAGATTTAATTTATAAAATGGGTTTTATTGTGTATTCAAAATATTTAATGCTTAAACCATACTATAACAGTTTTATCGAATCGAAAGAAGACGTAAATAGAATTATGAAAACAGCAGGGAGTTGAATGCGATTCGTTTTGTGTAAATTCGCATCTCGCAGTCAATTGTAGGATACGCATTGTCTTAAATATTGAGGAATGAGGAAACTATTTCGGTTCCTTTTACTATTACATTTATATCAATAGACACATTTTAATTTTTCATAAAATTATTTCGTCATAGAGATGACCATTATTTTGCAACCATTGTAATATCAAACTTTAGATTTAATTGTTTTTTAAATCTAAAACTAACCTTGAAATTACAATAGCGCCGCCGTTCTTGTCTTATTGTCTGTTGTTTGCTATGCCTAAATTCGCTTCGTGTTACTTGGCTTTATATAATGGAATTCAGCTACTTGGGTTTTGAAAATTTTAACTTTTTATTTTTAAATAGCTGGAGTTGTGCTCTATATTTAACGATTTTTCCACAAAATGGAACAAAATATACAAGCGAACAGGTGCTACAAGTCTTTCAAACTCTTGCAATCATGGAGGTTTGTGGACTAGACGATAATATTTATCTCCAATAGGTTATTCACGCTTGTTTGAGACTTGTTAGGTCTTCTCCGATGACTACGGCTATTCAAATTGCCTCACGTCTTTTGATTCTCTGGGGCGTTCTGTATATGTATCCAGCAGTAAAAGCGCATGAAAACTTCAACAAAATGATGTTTATTTCCTGGTGTCTTGCCGATATCACTCGTTATCTCTTTTATCTCATTAATATTTTCATGGAACCACCTCGTTTGTTAACTATTTTAAGATATAACCTTTTCTTGATTCTATATCCAACCGGTATTACGGTTAGTTATCGTTTTTCGTCCTTACTTGTGTGTTTAGGGTGAAATTGCGCTTATGTTGTTTTCATTGCCTTATGCGGCGAGGCAACCTTGGTTGCAATACACACTACCAAATGTTCTCAATTTTGGTTTCAATACTTATCAATTGTACTGTCTCTTCCTAATACTATATGCTCCAGGTAAAAGTCGCCTTTTCGGTTTCTTCTAATTACTTTTAGGTTCTCCAGTTATGTACACTCATATGTTAGCCCAGCGACGCAAAGTTATGGGAAAGAAGAAGTTTGAATAAGCGCTTGTACTGTTATATTCGTAATATGAGTTTTCCTTGGTGACTATGAGTACCTTTATTCATTGGGTGTTTGCTTTATAGTGCCGGGGTTATAGATGATTATGACATAAGTGAATAAGCCCTTGTTATAATTTTTTATCATTATCTTAAATCAATTTATTTATATCAAATGGCAGGCATTTTGATAGTTTCATTAGCCCTTTAGGTGACTTCAGGTCTCATAGAGGAGAAATATCAAAGTGAAAAAAATTCGAGAGGGGGGGGGACAGAAGAGTGTTTCGAAGATGTAAAAGCGATAGACACAAAGGTAGAAAAAAGGTGTGGTGAGTACTGTGGAAGTAGTCGAATATGACATGCAGTGGGGTGATGGTAGGTTGAAGTCAGAAGTCAACTACCGGTTAATAGACTTCTTTTGCCGTATGAGTATACGTTGACCAGGGTGCACCACGTGGAGGAAAGTCTATCGCACACCCCATTATCTTAAATCAATGTTTCATTTAAATTCATTGAACGATATGCTTGTTTGTGCTATGGGCATCTCAAGATTGTATAGTATAGTACCAATTGCTGAAGATAAATAAAATGTGGGAAATTTTCGGAGTTGGAAATGTACTAGAATTTGTCTTGGTAATGCAGTGATAGACTCTAAGTATGTTTAACCTTGAAATTGGTCAATAGGAAGCGGAATCACCGACTGGGTAAGTATGTGTGGCATATATTTCTCAAAATATATAATTCAAAAATCAATTTGCCGAGCTTATTTATACTGTTTCCACTATAAATGAAAGAGTTCTAGCTTGCAGAAATTTTTAACTAAAAATCAGTTAGACCAGCAGAAAAACTGTTAGACTTCGACCAAGCAAAGATACTGGAACCGTTATATAAATGATTTGAGATTAGGGCGATTTATTAAGGTCAAAAGAGCATAACAGTAAAGTATTCATTTATAGCGAATAGCAGGTTTCATGCTGGTTATCATTAGCCATTCAGTTGACTTCTGGCTTCTCGGAGGGGAGGAAATTCAAAGTGAGAGAAATTCGAGAAGGGGGAATTGAAAAGTGATTCACAGACAGACAGTCACAAAGATAGAGAGTAAGTTAAGGTGAGTACTGAGGAAGTAGTCGAATATGACATAAAATGGGGTGATGGTAGTTTGAAGTGAGTATGAGTATACGTTGTCCAGGATACTCCGCGTGGAGATAAGTCTATCATACACCCCATGAATGTTAAGGTACTACTGTTAAAATAGCCCTTCGGGAAAAAATACAATATAGAAGTGGTTGCTACTTTCTGAAATATAATTAAATTTTATCCCAGGAAAAGTGATTTAACAAGCTATTGTTAATTATTTTGCAAAATTCGCATATTTGTCAAAATCAGCTAAACTGAAGGGTCACTGCCTTGCATAATTTGGGGATAATGTCAAACTTTTAGGCATTTGATTTGTTTTTGTTAAGTTCTGGGACCGAATAAAGTGCTCAATGCTGTTCAACAAACAGTTAGTCCCCCAATTCTCTACAAAGTGTTTGAGGGCATATAAAGTGAAAGGATTAAAGGACTCCGATGTTTCTAAAAAATTGCCACCACTATTTTTTACAGTTCTTCCAAAAATATCCTCTTCCTTCTGTTGCACTAGTATCAACTGTTGAAATTTATAACGATTAAGTGAGCCTGTTTCCAACGGTTAGAGATGGTACAAAAGCAACTAATCTTACTTTATCTTTGGAATTCTCCCCCACCTGAAATCGTTTCTACTCGACTTGTCGTCAAAGCTACCGTTGCTCAAGCAATAATTAGTCCACATAGTCTTCCCTTTAGATCAAAAGATGAATCACGTGTGATATCAAGGAGGATATAGAGAAGGCTACCGTACTTTTGCCTCCTCCAGAACGCCTTAATCATCCATCAAGATCAGGCCCCTAGATTTATTGATCAATGAAAACAACATTTGACCTGACTCCACGTTCCCTTGCCGTTCTGCTCGATCGGCACTGGTGGATAATAGATCCAAGCAACTCAAAAGAAATCAGTCTTTACTAAATCCGTTTCTCTCGTATATAAAATTGTCTCAAGTGCGGTTGCAAACAAACAATAAATGAGTGACTGTATTCTCAAACTAAAGGTCCTTGCTCTCACACTGACCTCAGTCATGTTGAACCTATCAAAGGAATTACTTTCCTTAATCTGGTGGTTTCATATTCTAAGTGTCCTTAGGTACTGACACTTAAATCTGCAATATGTATTAACAAATCAGAGCTTACAAAGAAGTTATTGAGCCAATCAAATCGATTTGGAGCAGTAGCCTAAGTATTCCTTTCTCGATTTTCAATGAATCATAATGGCCAAGATGAACAATTTGTTGACATCAAGAAAGAGCAAAAACTCGCACTAAAAAGGAGGAATCAATAGAAAATGTACTTAATTGAGACAACGGCTCTGGATGGTGTACAAATTTAGGCTTACCATGGTAATTAGATCTGCTCTCGATAAACTGCACTATCTTTCGAACAGAAAGTGACGCAGAAGGAGATTTTTTGACTCATGAAACCCCTTTCTCCGAGTTGGAAACCTGAAAGCCCTAAGTCTCAAAGCAATTTTCTGCTCGATCGCTACTCTGTAGGCTTCAGTGTTGACGCAAGGCTCAAACTGATGAAGGAACAAATTATAGCGAAACGTGGTGGATAAAACGAATGATTTTTATCAAAGAACAAGTAAATTAACAATTAATTCAGGGTTATTTCGCAAGATTCAAATGTGTAAAGAAACGCTAAATTCCAAAGTCGTTTCATCTAATAATTTCGGAGTAAGCCTAAAGTATTGTGAACATATACATCTGGGTTGATTAATCGAATATTTGAGTTAATTGGTTACGAAAGTGATATTTTCAAGTTTTTGTTGGATTGTCAGAACAGATTTGATTGAATTCATATTTATCAGTCTAATTTATCGGCAAAAATGGGAATTATTATCGAGAAAATATGAATAACACGAAATTTGCTTAACTTTGGAACATACTTAGAAACGTAAGCTTCGCTAACGTTATTAAGATTTCGTCCGTGCACATAAAGTTGAAATTAATTCATGCGGATGTTAAATTTGCCTTCGACTTCACGTGGAAAAATTTTGAAGATAACTCCTTTGAAGTAAATATGGGCATTTTTGCATAAAAATTTTTCTGCTGGAAAAGACATTTTCGTGTTGATAAAACTATATTTTCTTAGACTATTCGTTATCGACACTTCCTGAGAAAGAAGTTGGATGATACATTCGGAACAATGCAAGAAATATCCCAAAATTATCTTCCAAATAGCAAATATTCAGGGTCAATGCAACCATTTATTACTTATGTACAAAAAATACGTTTACAAAATTATATTATACGTTTTCTTCAATCCTTTTGCCTTTCTATAAAGATAACAATCATATGATTAGGTTTTTAACCCGATTGTTTTAGAATTAATACCACTGTTCCTCTGTCATATATTTTTTCAGATTCATTAATTATAAGTCCTACAAATTAGTCATGAACGATTTTTTATTTTTTCCAACATATTTTAATAATACTATCAATATTTCAAATACCATGTGCATTGTAAAATAAAACAAAATTTTCTCTTAAATACAAAATACAATTCCATTAGAAAGTTTTGTAAGAATTTTGCACAAACTTTGCACAAATTTTAACATATTTGTGTTCTGATTCGGAATATTTATGGATTATTAGAAATTTTTAATTACTTAACATAGAATTGAATTTGTTTTATTGTATTCTTTATTATGTATATTTATGAATATTTTAGGTTATGACTTTGGGTCCATTCGATAGTCGCGCAAGGCCTAAAAGTTAATATATAAGTCGTTGTATTATTTTTTCACCCGTGAATAATTGTCACCTACATGGATCAAGTTGCTACCACAGTGCCTAGTGGTCATACAGAAAAACACCTTCACAATTCATCTAAAAGGGGAGTCAATAAATTCCTCAAACAGATTCGCAATCTTAATTGGGTTAAGAGATTGCAAATTTCCAAATCCGAATCTAAAAAGGATCTTGATAACTCAAGAGTTGCGATAGAAAATCCAAATGCTCTTTATGAATTTGAAGAATCTGAACTCTCAGGTCGAATCATCCCCATTTTTGGTGAGTCTCACGTATTTTTGAATGATTTTCCCATTTGCATGTTTAAATTGTAATGATCGATTTGGAACTCAGAATAGTTGTTTTGTATGCACTTAATGTTTGGTGTCTTGATTGTAGGCTCAGAATCCGATTATCGGCCTCTTTGTTTACCTGCAAATAATGATGAAGCCTCCTCCCTAGTAAATCGCGTTCGAATCATTGACAGTCGACAACTCACAAGTAGGACGTGGCTTTATTATATAATTTAAGTTCTCGTCGAGACTTGTCCATTTTGTTTTTTTTCCCTAGCTTTTCCAACAATAACCAGTAATTGCGACCAAGATACATCCCCACTCTCTCTTACTTTTGGAAGCTCTCGTCCCAACCAACAATCTCTCCGTGGTGATTCAAATCTTTCCTTCACAAATGGTGGTTCGTTTCGTGAATTTTTATTTTCTGACATGGTGTATTCAAAAATATTCCAGTATTGCCTTCAGTAGAACTTTTTAACATTTAATTTGTAGTTCCATTTGTAATATTTTGTGTTTTGGGTTAATTTGTTCCTGAGTATTTTTTTACCTTGGGAAAGTTTTTGGGAGCTGTGAATGTCTCTTGTTATGTGCAATATAGCTGAACTAATACATTTAATTATGTAAATCCACATTAAAACTAGACAGAGTTTGGAGATGCTTGACTTTTTTAGTTATCCTGCAGTTACAATGAGGGAAGAGGTTTTCAACCATGGGCAAACCAACAATTGGTTAATATTTATCCTTATTGTGAGATTGCACTAAACGTCTCAGATAAATAAAGTGCTTTTTGTAATCATATTTCCTCTAATTTCACAAAAAATGTTCTTTACTCAGGAGTTGCAACTCTTAATCTCTTGAGTTGACTTAAAATTGGTTTATACTAATCATCTCCTCTCTTTGGGACAGTCAGGAAACCTCGGTCGATAAAAACTCTTTATTAATATGCGTTCTTGATAACTCAAGTAATTTCTTTGCTTCTCCTTCTCACAACCTTTTCATCAAATGGAAATATATTTGAAAAGTATTTTGGCTGTGATAATACCTCATTTCTCCTGAACATTTAATACTCAATTCCCCTTTCTGTCTTTCGTTGCTAAGTCAATATGATCAAGTGTCCGTATTAAAATTCAAAGTTAACGTACATTTTACATATTACGTAAATTATCAATTAGGAAGGACTGGCATCTTTCTTGAACGTTAGCTTCGTTGTCATGTCGGTCAGGATGCAATAAGACGTGTAACACCTGGAAATGGGAGAATTCAGGGAATGACTGGTCTTACTACCTCCATCTTTACTTGAATAGAGTATTTAACATGTATAAACCAATACCCCAGATTTGCAACTAACTGTGTAGACAGTTTACCCCGTTCGAGCTCACTTTCCGCGGTGTCTTCTACATCAATTTGAAAATATATTGCTAGTTTCAAAAATTAATGTTCCCATAAAAGTTTTATATGGAGTAAGTTTTGAAGAGACTGCTGCTCTTTCTCAAAACTTTACACATGATTTTTTTTGAGTCGTAAATATCCAAATTTCGCAACATTATTCCCTATTTCGATGCCATTTTGAGGCTTAAATTAGACGGGTTGATCTAAATTTGGTACAAATTTGAACCTTCTGATTAGGATTATCTTGGATTTGCAAAAAATAAATTTTGTTGCCTAATTTGCAATTCAATAAATTCATTTGAGGCATGGCTATGGAATGCCGTTGTTACTAGTAGGTAAATAAAAGTTGTCCTTGTTTTGAAGTGACGTTTCGCATTGTTAGCGTCGAAAATGAAGTGAAGTGGTCTTAGTTCGATAGCAACCGGTGTTATTTCTTATTCTCAACTTGCCTTTTCTCTTGTAATTTTTCTCCTTAATTTTGTTAACGCCTGGAGTAAGTAGAACTGCATCATTCAAGTGTTAACAATTCTTTGCTCATTTGATTTTTTTCTTTGAACCCTCCCCTAGATCTATGTGTGCTCTAAAAATGGCACGTCTCCCTTTCTCAAGCGGGCGTTTTAGACGCCCACTTATTTCTTGCGTGTGTGTGTGTGTGTGTATTTACAGTCCAATTGGGCGCATGTATTTTCATGTACACACATTTATTCCTCCTTAAAAGTTTTTTTTAGTTGTTTTGGAACTTACACGCTTGCATACAAGTTCAAGTACCTACAATCCTACACCTCTATTTGAACTTTGATGCCTCCGCTTTCTCAAGTGGCAACGCTCAGAGAATGCCATTTAACCATTGGTAGTGGCTTTTTTTCCAATCACTCGTTGATGAGTAATCGGCTTCAAAAAGGCGTTACTAGGCCTCTCGTTCCTCTTGGCTTCTTGATATTGCTCTAGCCAGCTTTACTTTGGATATACAGCCCACAAATGCCTAGTTCTAATAATGTACTCTCGGCCGTACCTCCTACACATGCTATTCCTTACATATACGCGCATGCTCTCAGTCACGATTGGAGTTCAATATTGCGATAAATAGAGGGCCTTTTTACTCTCCTAACATCTACCTTACTTGACTGGTATATTGTCGGATTGTTGGATAGTGTAAATTGTGATTTTCCTTGCAAGCAAGATTGGCTTAAGAATAGAAAAGCAAAAATTGAAGTTGAAAATGTCTACAGTCCGATGCTTCTAGAGCCCGGAAGAAGTGAGGGTTCTCCTGATCCCAAATTTTATTCCTCTATTGCCTTATTTTCCTCCCTTTTCCCTATGTGACCATTTCGACCAAAGCTGTTTGTTATTTTCAAGGATTATTTTTGGGATAGCTCTGTGGATAGCTTAATTGGTCTTAGTGGAAGTGCATCGCAAATTTAATCGTTGATTATTCCACCTTCTAACGCTTAGTCAGAAGATATTATCTCCCTCGAATTTTATGTCATCCATGCAGGAATTCTGATGTTAATCAACATTTGCGTTGCCGTTTTAATCGATGCTTGCCATTTCGAGAGCGTCACTAGATGCACAGGGATATATAAATATGTATAATTAAAATATTCTCTCTCTCTGGTCCACTTCGACTTCAGTCACATTTCGAAATTCTTTTTTTTTCCTTGAAGTAATAATGGGATGTGGGTAATGTCTTGCCAATATGGAAGATGTGGTGAAACTTAATTTAATTCGTGCATTCTTCTTTTTTTTTGGGGGGGGGGGGGGGGGGGGGGGAGGGGAGGGGCTATTCTTTCCCTGGTGGTGTCCGACATTGCCATGTGTAGGAATTAGGCATTTTTGTTAGATAGATCTGTACATTTATCCTTTCGTTTTTTTTTCCTATTTTTCCATTTTGTTGACAGCAAACTTCGTCTGTAACTGTTTCGCCTATTTTTGGCTATATTTAATGGATTATTTCACATACATTCCACCATTTGTAAAGAAGCAATTTCGAAAGTGTCAACCCTGACTTAACCCTATTGGAGACAGTGTTTTTTTTCTCGGATCTTGTCGTAAACGATCCACTTCTCATCTCCAATAACGTGTTAGTTAACAAAAATATGGTTTTTTTGTCTTGACAACAATGACATGGATCTATTTCTTTACTCATCTTGGTTTTGTTGTTAGTGTTGAAGAAATGCGGTGCACAAATTTCCATCCAATTCAATTTACTCAGATGCTTCATTTTTAATTGACACAGTTGATCAAGGACATGCGAGTTTCTGTAATAATTCTTCCTTATTTGATATGATGGTCCAACCCAACCAGGGATTTCAGTACGTTATCATCAAAATGTGAGGAGTCATTCCGATTTCGGTGTATCATCTGAACTTCCATTGCACGATTTAAACCCTTAAACCAAAATTGACATTGATCGATTGTGAGCACTTGATCATAAATACCAGTGTTGGCTTTAGTGTCTATGGAGGTGTTCGAGTCCTGTTAAAATAATCTGAGGATACGATGCATGTGTTTGACGTGCTCTTTGTCTTCTTTGAGGTCAGGTGTTTTCACCCTTCACAATCGGATGGAATTTAGGCCTAATAAATAACGTCGAGTGACTTGTTTTCAAGGAAAAGTATTTACCAAGTGGTTCTTTTACGACATAAAATGTGTTGCTTCTTATTGGCAACGCGAATATAAAGGGGAATTTGAGTGGAAAACACGGCAAGTATATGGTTTTATTCGGAATTCAAGCTGAGCGTGTACATTCACCTAACTTTTACGCCCATATTTGCTCTCATTTTGGGCAGAGGTGTAGCATCTTGGAACCCTCCTGTCGTGAAACTGGAATCCTGCTCCTCCTTAATTAGTCAGAGCTATTGTGGTTGATCATTCCCCTCGCTGGGTACAAGCCAGCGGGCATTGAATCCTCTAATCGCTGACTTCACTGGGAAGAGAGTTAACCACTGCATCGTTTTCGTTTAATTAATTTCTTCTAGAGGGCCAGAATGCTAATAAGAAAGTGGCGTCACCTTGAGGGAAGGAAATCAAGCAATTAATTCGGGGGAATGCATATACGTGTCAACAGAGGACATGACATTTTAGCGGTTTTGTATAATAGCAGGTACTTATTTACCTCGTGCCCCACTTTCCCAAATACTTAGGAATTTGTATTCCTTTGGCTTCTGGTTTGTTGATCATTATTATTATTATTATTATCTAAAGGGCTATTTGTGTTGAAAGAATTCCCATCCGAACACATTGAATGAATGTGTTTTTTTCTATGCCACTATATTGGGTCAGCTTTGAAGATCCAATTATGCGAACGATTGTGTATTTCCTCGCTGTTTAACCGACTTGTATTGAAAGTTTTAGTTGGTCATTTCAATTGCTGTAATTATACCAACCGTGTCCCTTGATCTGATTATCGGATTCGATTTTCTCTCTGCAAAAATGTATTTATTTATATCAAATGGTAGGCTTTCTGATAGTTATAATTAGCCCTTTAGTTGACTTCGGGCTTCATAGAGGGGAGGAACATCAAAGTGAGAAAAATTCGAGAGGGGGAACAGAAGAGTGATTCACAGATGTAAAAGAGACAGACAGGCACAAAGGCAGAGAAAATGGTGTGGTAAGATGAGTACTGTGGAAGTGGTGAAATATGGCATACAGTGGGGTCATGGTAGTTTGAAGTCAGAAGTCAATTGCCGATTTTTACACTCTGTTGCCGTTTGAGTATACATTGCCCAGGGTGCACCACGTGGAGGTAAGTCTATAGCGCACTCCTTCTCCCTAACATTGAACAGTGCTTCTTTCTGCCTATGACTCGATTCCACAGCTTTTGTGCTGCTTATGGGCTTTTATCCAGCTACAATTTTCCTTCTATTTTGCTGGACTCGGGCTCCTGTTTTCATTCTTTTATATCCCACACAACCTCCCCCCCCCCATTGTTTCTCTCATCTACTTTTATCTGCTTTCTCATGTTATCCTGATCATCTGATTTATCTTGTTCAAATTTCCGCCTACCACTTCCACCCTTTTGTCCCACGTTATGGACAAATGCAACCCTACTGTGTTGTGTCATTATTTCCAGATACTAA